TTGTCACATGCTCCTGGATTCTAGAATCACCTGACTCTGCAGCTGAACTACTTGGCTGTGAATTCATGCAGATTCCAGATCTACTGTCAGAAAAATCTGTCTAGCGTTGGATGCAGCTGCTGGGATGACTTGGGCCTAGAGTAGCCTGAGGCCTGTGTGTGTATCCAGAGGGATAGATGTGGTAAACAGGATACAGTAGCATGGCCACAACTTCCAGACTGGGCACTGAGCCCAGCAGAACCCTGCAGAGAGAAATGCCAGACAGCAGAATGGGCCTAGCCTGCATTCACCATACAGACTCCGAGGGTAACACAAAATGTGTAGTCTCAGAAAAAAGTTACTGCCTGTAGCTAGCTACTAGAGAGACTTCAAGATGGCTGGAGGAAGGGGAACACATCTTTAGGTGTCTTGTCACCCTTACATAGGTAGGGACTCAAAATCCCATCTCTGGAAACTCAATTGATATCTTCAGTTAAATTGAATATACCCTGGTGGTTTTGAAACCCAAGGGGTTCTCCAGGCACAGGACAGGAGAGCTCTTGTTGCCATTGGGCAGAGTGTCATCTGCAGGAAAGTCACAAAGGCCCTATCTTCAGAGCTCTGAGGCTCTGCCACTCCATCATTCTCTAAAAGGCCAGGTCAAGCCTCCCCTGTCCAGGCCCCTGCCTGCCTGTCCCTGCCTATGCTTCCCAGCTTTGGAGGTCCTTTCATGTCTGCATCATGTCTGCCATCTTCTCTCTTACTTAACTGAAGCAGTTTGTCCAGTTCACATGTTCTGTCTGTGATTGGGACATTGTTCTTGTGACTTCCACGTCTGGCCTCTCCAGGGTGCATGTGACTCTGTCCAGAAGTGTCTGGTGCAAAGAGAGCCCTGAGCCTGCTGGGCCTGGCATGGGCACGAGCTCCCAACTGGGAATAGACTCCACACACAGGAAGCAGGTGGGAAACAATGGCCTAGCAGGCTGCAGTTCCAGCACTAATGGCCCTTGTCCTTTCCCACCACAGGTCATCTTTCTGTCCAAGGGGAAGGATGCCATGCAGTCCTTCATGATGCCATTTTATCTCATGAAGGACTGTGAGATCAAACAGCCTGTGTTTGGTGCAAACTACATCAAGGGGATGGTGAAGGCTGAAGCAGGAGGTGGGTGACAAGGATGCTCAGGGACATCAGTGCTGCCTTGGGAACATCCTCTTCAAACTCTTACTGCCCCAGCCTTGTCCCCTTCCATGCTCCAGATTACCTTCAAAAGGAATATCTGGGCTGCCAGCTGACCAGCCTGCGTGGGTTTTTGGTTGCCAAGAGCTGGGAAAGGCTGGCATGAGTTGGCAGTTCAGATCACCTCTTCAGAGAATAAAATCAGCAAAAAGACCAAAAACTAAGTAAGATGCCTATTGTGCCCTGGGGAGCATGTGCAGATTTTAGATGGGGGAAGGAGCTGTGTCCTGTTTTTGGAGGGACCTTCTCCTGAGAACAAGCAAAGGCAGCTGCCCTCTGGGAAGCTGGAGAAGCCCTGCCCTGTGGCTGACACTTGTACAGACACTGGAGACCTCCTCATGGACCCTGCCTTCCCCTCACACCCTCCTAGGCCCAAGCTTTCTCTTGGTTCCCCTTTGGACAGACGCCAAGCTAGAGGGACCAGGGTTCATGCTTAGGCCCCCTCAGAATGAGAGGTCTGCTCTGAACTTGAATGGCAGTTAATGCTGAGTGCTCTTGCTCTTGGAAGCTGCCTGGTACTTCCTTGGGGGTCAAAAGAAACCCCTTAGTATTAGCTCTAAAGCCAAACCATGTGGACTTTGTGCCTGTTACCTCAGGGACTGGGCTGGAAGGTCAAGCTTGTTTCAAGAAGAAGCCTCTGTTCCAAAGGGGGAGGCCGTGATAGCAGGAGCCAGGCCAGTCTGCAGCACCAGGGGCATAGGCTTGGGAAGCAGCCCTGTCTATGAGGAGGAGGCAAGAGAAAGCCTGGCTTTTTCCTGCAGGCTTTGGGGGCATTAGGTGGGACCCTGAGGAATGCAAAGAGCCATCTCTTTCAGTGTACCTGTTTTCTTTCCTGCACTGTTCATTTGCCGTCTTGCCCCCTTCATAGGTGGCTGGGAAGGCTCCGCTTCATACAAGTTGACCTTCACAGCAGGGGGCGCCATCGAGTTTGGTCAGCGCATGCTCCAGGTGGCATCTCAAGGTATTCAGGCTCTAGAAATTAGGGACCAAGGACACATTGGACATGTGGGTTTTTTGTTTGATCATGTTTCCTTTTGTTTTGTAAGCATCAGAAGATATATCTGACCCTGCTGACCAGGGCTGGGAGTTGGGGACAAAGCCTGTAATTTCTGCTCGGTCCTGTACCTCAAAGCCTGGGCCTCTTCTGCCTGGAGCAGGTGTACTACACTCTGACAGATCTATTTGGACTTGACATTTTACTGTGGCCTCACACAAACAAACAAAAAACCCAACCATTAAACCATTAAACAACCATTTTAAGTCACCAAGTACTGTGTTCAGCAGACAGCCTCACCTGGCTCCTCCTCTACCCCTCCCGAGCCTCCTTCCTTCCCTCCATTCACCTCCATCCCTGTCCCCCTCTTTGCCTTGCCTCATCCCTGACAGAGCCAGACCCATGTATGGGTGGAGAGTGGAACAGAGGGTAGGCCTGTCTGCTGGCACATTTCTGGGTGCCAGCAGCTCCCCAGCAGGCAGTGGGGCCGCCCTCTGCCAGCCCTGAGGCAGGTGGCACTCATCTCTCTCTCCCCTTGTGCTTATAGCCTCCAGAGGTGAAGCCCCCAATGGAGCCTATGGGTACCCTTACATGCCCAGCGGGGCCTATGTCTTTCCCCCGCCAGTCGCCAATGGAATGTATCCCTGCCCTCCTGGCTACCCCTATCCACCGCCCCCACCTGGTGAGTGTGTCCTTTGCTGCCCACCCTCAACCCACCCACCCACTCAACCACTAACCACTTCTCCCAGGCCAGGGGGTGCAGAGGGGAGACCCGTAACTAACAGATGCTGGAGAGGTACAGAGGCTGCCCCTGAGGAGCTATATGGGGCAGCTCCCAGGAGGCAGCCTTCTGAGGGAGCCAGGCCTGACTAGTCATTGGGTCCCTGTTGCTCTCTTGCCAAGCAGAGTTCTATCCAGGAGCTCCTGTAATGGATGGGGCCATGGGATATGTGCAGCCCCCACCACCACCCTATCCTGGACCCATGGAGCCTCCAGTCAGTGGCCCTGATGTCCCCTCCACTCCTGCAGGTAAGGCCCCTGGGCTGCTAGCAGTCCTTTGAAACCAACCCTCTCTTCTCTAGGACCTAGGACCTTGCAGGAGCCCCTGGCCTAGGAACCAGCAGGGAGGTGGCCTGGTGGTGAAAAGCTAGATGCTAGTTCTCTCTGTCCCTTAGGTAGCTGAGTGACCTACCTATTCGGCTCAGGCTCCTCCATGTATAAACAGATGGTCATGGGGCCACTAGTGGGCTTGTGTCGGGGATATAAGGGACTGGAAAAAAAGTGCCAGCCTGTGGCAGTTGCTTAGAAAACTCAACTGCCGCTTTTTTATTGGCCGTCTGGGTCACCAGCATTACTGCCCTGAGCCTCGGGGCCGGGAGGACAGGGCTTGCCACCAGTGCTTACTTTGTGTTTGCTCTCCAGCTGAGGCCAAGGCCGCAGAAGCAGCTGCCAGCGCCTATTACAACCCAGGCAACCCACACAACGTCTACATGCCCACGGTGAGTGGGAGTGGCCGTCCCCTGGCCGTAAAGACAGGGAGTTGGGCGGGACGATGGGCCTCCTCTTATTCTAAGAACATTCTAACATGATCTTTCCTTCCTTCTTTAGAGCCAGCCTCCACCACCTCCCTACTACCCTCCAGAAGATAAGAAGACCCAGTAGACCCCGCCTACTTCCCTGTCCCCACCTCATGGGCCTTCCCTACCCCTCCTTGTGGGACTGCATCTGGCTGGGGGAGGCCAGGGAGGACCTTATTCTTCCCCAGGTCTGATGATAAAGAGGAACTAGTGTTGCAGGAAGGCAGGGCTCTGGCCTCTGGAGAGGTGTCCCCCCAGCTTCCCACACTAGCTCAGCCCACAGCGCCCCTCTTACCATTTCTGGGGCTGTCCTTAGGAGCACGGGGTGTTCCCCTTGTTCCTGTTTCACTCTAGTAGTTCCTTCCCACAGAGGGACTCTCTGGCCACCTCCTCTATTGCAGTCCAGCCCCTTGGTCTGGTAGCCATTCTGCACTCAGCCTTGTGAGCCGCCCCCAGACCAGCCACATGTCTTCCCTGTGGGCCAAAAAGGCCCTACCAGTCCCAACTCACATTCCTTCCCCTGTCTGTGCTTAGCTCTGGAAGGCCACTGTCCCACCTGACCATCAGTCCACATTCCATTCAGCCAGGCCTGCCGTCCCTGTCCGTGGTCATTCTGTTGCCACTTCTGATTGCAGGAGCTTTACAACAAGCTTCCAGGGTTTAGTGGCTTCAGGGGAAGCCCATTGCGGCTGGGGATGAGGCTCCTCTGTTCTCTTGCTAGTGTTTCTGGAATTTGTTTTCCCTCTAGTCTCTTCCCTCCACGAGGGGCTTCTCAACTGGAGCTGAAGAGTGCATGTCCATCCCATCATGCCATTTGGGGGCTGCGGGGTGGGCTCAGAACAAAGGGCCCCCAACCCTACATGCTGATCATAGCCTGCTGCCGGCCCCTCCCTTTAAGCATCATGCCCCCTGGATGCACGGAGATTTGCTCATTTGTTCTTGGACCGGCCACGAAGTGAGGAGAGATGGTTATTTAAAGAGAATTCCCTATTTATTTGACAAAAAAAAAAAAAAAATCCAGTTAATATATTAATGTGAAATAAACCCTGTTTGCACCTTGATTTGTTTGCTAAAACTGTGAAATAGTAAAAATGAAATAACTGGACCTTTCTGGCTGTGTGTGCTGACCAAGGGGAACCTTTGGAAGAAGAGCTGTCGAGCTGCTGAGGAGACTCTTCCTTCCTAGAGTGAGAACATCTTGTTCTCTGGGCCACCTCCCCACTGAGGCCCATGCACCTGGCTGGGGTGGCCAGTGGTGCCGCCCAGCACCTGGGTGGAAGAGGCAGGCAGGGCCAGCCTTTGTCCCACCTGCTGACTCTCCAGCCCCAGGCTCAGAGTAGGAATCTGAGAGGAGGTGGTTTAGGGTTCCTGGAGCATGCTGGACCCTCTTTGTCCAGCTGGCTAGGACAGCTGGGTGGGTCACTGCAGTGTGTGACCTGGTACTGCCTTCCTGAATACCTGAGTGTTGGGGAGGGTGGGAAACAGAACTGTGCTCCACTCCAGCCCAGGCAGTGGGCACAGGGTCAGTGGGTTGGGGAGCTCTGGGATGCTGGTGCTAAAGTCTATTTTCCTGTCCCCAGCAGACCAAATCTGCCCTCTTGGAGAGATTGGCAGGAGGGCTTCTCCCACTTCTTCTAACACCAGCCCTACCCAGGAGCTCTCAGGGTTTGGCTAAGCTCCCCTACAAGGGAATTTGACCTTCATGGTGGAGTTGAGGCTACAAGGAAGTCCCAGGCTGGTACAGCTTGGCCGGTCGTCACCTCCATGGAATGTCACCTGTGGGGTGGAGCAGGCTGAGCAGTTGGCTGCCAGCTGGGGAACTCTGTCTCCGTTTGAGCTTGCCCCACCCCTGCCCAGGTCTGGGACCCATTCTGTCTGGGTAGCCTGGGGTGAGAACCCCTAGGACCAAGGTTAGCTTCCCTGGGTGCAGTAGAGTTGATGGGGGAGGGTGCCCTACTGGGAGCACGGGACCATCCTTAAAGCCTCTGTGGGAGGGTGGGGTGGGGCTTACCCGCCTACAGTGTCCACTTTCTGCTCCAGGATAGACAGGCTTCTGCAAGGATCTGGGCTGCAGGAAGGTGCAGGGGACCTGGGAGACAGCCTCTCCAAGGCAGTGACACCCTGACCCTTCTGTCCCCTGCACTGCGCTCCCTCCACCCTTCCCAGGCAGAGGGTGGCAGCCTTGGGGCTCTTTGCATCATCCTGTGGCTTCACCGTCTTCACTCAGCAGCAGCAGGGCGGCAGAGGGAAGGGCAGAACCAGCCACTATGGCGACAAGCCTCTCCCACCCCCAGCGTCGCCCTCCCCTCTTGCGCCAGGCCATCAAGATAAGGCGCCGCAGGGTCAGAGACCTACAGGATGCCCTGCCTCCAACAACCCAGGAGGTAGGAGTGACCTCAATGGGGAGAACAGCTGGCCTTGGGGACTCAGCAGGCATGGGTGTCTGGCCCCACCTACCCGTCCACCCTGCTCCTGGGCAGAGCCTTCTGGGTCAGCGGGGTGGGTTTGCCACATGTCCTCTGAGCCACCATGAGTCTCTCAGGTTGGGGGCCCGAGCCTCTCTAGCCCCCCCCTTTACAGTGGGCCTGCCCTCCCTCTCCTCTCCCCTAGTTCCAGAGGAACTTTGCTCTGTGAGGCAGGTGTCCTTGATGTGGGGTGGGCTGCCTAGGGACCCCTCTGAGCTACCTCAGGCTTGCTCAGCATCCCCCCAAGTCTCCCACCTCGGCTGCAGGGCCTCACTTCCGCCACAGGGCTGAGCAGGCGGCTGCCTGATAAGCAGAGCTGTTTCCTCTGGGGAAGGAAGAGAGTGTGGGGGCAGGTGGCAGAGGGCTGTGCTGCTGGGCCAGCTGAACGCCCATGGACCTCAGCCTCAGCAGGCCAGGGGACGAGCAAGGTGGCCCAAGGGCCAGACCCCAAGGAGGCCTGTTGTGGGAACAGGTGTGGGGCTTCAGTGGGCTTGAAGGGTGTGCTGGGGACCCACTGCACTAGGCCTGGGCCTTCCTGTTCCTCCAAGCAGGCCTCCAAGGACACCTTGTCTTTCCACCTTGCTCCCCAGATTGAGCCTCCATCCCACCACTTCTCCCCTGAGGAGGTAAGAGTCGGAGTGATGGGGGGGTGTGGAAGAGTCGGAGTGATGGGGGTCGCAGAGAGGTGTGGGGAGCAGCCCTACATCCTCCTGAAAGCCCCTCCATCACTGGCCAAGGCTGATGGCGGCAACCTGGGAGGGACTTCTGAGCCTCAACCCCCTTCACTGCACATGGGCTGCCTGTCTCTGCTCTGGGCTTGAGGTGTGGCTGTAAGGGGTTCCTTGGGCTGGGGAGTTCCTGATATGACCCTGCTGTGCCTCAGCGGGACCTGCTCTATGAGGAAGCACTCTACACTGTCCTGCACCGCCTGGGTCAGCCGGAGCCCAACCATGTGACCAAGGCCTCGGAGCTGCTGGGATATCTACAGGAGGTGAGCCCGGCCCCAACCCCTCCACCTTCCCGCAGCCTGGACCCCGGGGCTCTGCCTTCTGGCCTGACCCCTGCCCTCAAACTCCCACACACTATCTGCCTCCCCACCAGGCCTTCCAGCTGCAGCCCGGGGAGCACCAGCAGATGCTGCAGCGGGTCAGGGAGCTTGAGGTAACTTGGGCCAGGGCATCCCAGGCAAGGAAGGGCCTGGGAAGGCCAACCCTCTCGGGGACTCAGGCCACTCCCTCCCATCCCTCTAGAGGCCAGTATTTTGTCTGAAGGCAACAGTGAAACAGGCCAAGGGCATCCTGGGCAAGGATGTCAGTGGTGAGTGCAGGGTGGTGAGCCCTGAGGGCTGCTTCCTAACTCCTTTCTGTCCCATCACAGTCTGACCCAGAACTCCTGGCAGCAGCTCCTGTCTCCCAAATGTCTCCAGGACTGGCCTCCATCTAGCTGGTCCCTTGCACTGGGCATCTGGGCTGGGGAGGTGGTGCTCTGTCCAACTTTCCCTGTCCCTCTCTCAGGAGAAGCTCCTCAGGTGGGCTGAAGAGGGACCCTCCCAGGGAGCCCAGCCAACTCTGTGGTGCCTCATCCTCTCTCCTCCCAGGGTTCAGTGACCCCTACTGCCTGCTGGGCATCGAGCAGGGGGTGGGTGTGCCAGGGGGCAGCCCTGGGTCCCGGCGTAGGCAGAAGGCGGTGGTGAGGCACACCATTCCTGAGGAGCAGACCCACCGCACCCAGGTTGTCAACCAGACACTCAACCCTGTCTGGGACGAGACCTTTATCCTGTACGTGGCCCTGCCCCAGCCCCCCTCCCCGTACTCTCAGGACTCCTCAGTCAGTCAGATGAGTGGCTCTGGAGAAGGGGCTGGGCCCTGGGCGGGGGAGACAGTAGGCCAGACAGGACAGTCCTGGTGTTGATGGGGCTGGGTGGAGTCCCTCCAGGTGCATTGGGGATAGCCGGAGGCCCTACCTTGCAGGGAGGAGGGATGGGGAGGGATGTGTGTGAGGGGAGTAGCAGCTTGCAGGAAGGTGCCAAGTGGGAGTGGGCATATTGTGGGGATGGCAGCTGTGAAGGACAGGATCTGGAGTCCTTGTGGTCTGGTCTGGTGAGGGTCCTACGCTTCCAAGGCCCTCACCTACACCCTTTTCTCCCTATAGGGAGTTTGAGGACATAACCAATGCGAGCTTTCACCTGGACATGTGGTGACTGACATGGCCTGCTCCTGGGGAGGGAAGAGAAGGGCTGAGGGTGGAAGTCTCCTCCCTGAAAGGGTGATGGGCGCCCTGTCTGTCTCTTATTCAAACCTCTGCCCCACCAGGGACCTGGACACTGTGGAGTCTGTCAGACAGAAGCTTGGGGAGCTCACAGATCTGCATGGGCTCCGGAGGTGGGTGCTGGACTCATGGGAAAGAAGGGGACTCCCTCTGCCCTCCTGCCACGTACTCCATCATTGGGTCCACGCTGGCTACTGGTGGGGGGCAGATTCTACTCTGATCCCTTCAGGTACTTGATCCATCTCCCTCATGGATCCTACCTGAAACAGGATCTTTAAGGAGGCTCGAAAGGACAAAGGCCAGGATGACTTTCTGGGGAACGTGGTTCTGAGGCTGCAGGTGAGGGGCAGGAGGAATGGGGCCTGGGTAGAGCTGAAGGGGGCATGTGTGAAGGTTCTGGAGAGGGGCTCCAGGTGCTTGGGGACTGCCCCACTGCCTCCGGCCCCAGCTCCAGGTGTCTCCTGCCCACCAGGACCTTCACTGCCGAGAGGACCAGTGGTACCCCCTGGAGCCCTGCACCGAGACCTACCCAGACCGTGGCCAGTGCCACCTCCAATTCCAGCTCATTCACAAGAGGGTAGGTCTGGGGCCTGGGCCAGGAACTGAGCCCCGCAGCCTCAGTGTCCCTGCTGTGTTGGGTCTTCTCTGCTCACAGCCATCCTTGCCTCATTGCAGAGAGCCACGGCAGCTAGCCGCTCCCAGCCCAGCTACACTGTGCACCGCCACCTGCTGCAGCAGCTTGTGTCCCATGAAGTCACCCAGCACCAGGTACTGCCTTCCCAGGGCTGGGTGCTGCCAGGGTTGCCAATCAGGTCCTAATACCTCTCCACTATTCCCCTCAGGCGGGTAGTACCTCCTGGGATGGGTCACTGAGTCCCCAGGCCACCACCATCCTCTTTCTCCATGCCACGCAGAAGGACCTATCTGACTTCCACCAGTCCATGGCGTGAGTGCACAGCCCTGGTGGGACCCTAGGGGGCTGTTGGCGGCTGGCAGCTCCTGTATTCTGCTGGAAGCTCAAAGCCTCACACTTAGGAGAGTTCTCTTTGCCCCAAACTGCATGTTTTAAATCAGTGGCCAACTTTTAAAAAAATCTGGAGGGCTGGGGATGTGGCTCAAGAGGTAATGCGCTCGCCTGGCATGCGTGCTGCCCGGGTTCGATCCTCAGCACCACATACAAACAAAGATGTTGTGTCCACCGAAAACTAAAAAATAAATAGTAAAAAATTCTCTCTCTCTCTCTCTCTCACACTCTCTCTTAAAAAAAAAAATCTGGAGATTTCACATATAATCCAGATCTCCAGCTGCTCATGGGACAGAAGTATTTAAATGGCAGGACTAGTCAGAGCAGAGCAGTGTGTCCTCTATCTGGCGTGGTGGCCGTTAGGAGGAAGGTAGTTGAGGGCCAGGGGCAGTGTATATCCAGAACCTTAGGCAGGTGAGTATTTCGGAAGATAAGGGTAGGATGGAGGTGAAGCTGGTACAGCCACCAGACAGTGAGGGGCCTGGTTTGCTTACAGGGCCCAAGCACATAGTGCAGGTGGCAGCTGTGTCCAGTAGGAACCTTGGCCTGTCCTTGGATTGCTCTTCTTCCCTCCTTCTGCCCTTCCACTGGACCCTTGTCCAGCTCAGTCATTTCCTCCATCATGTCCCCTTGAGCCATCTCAAGTTCCAGCTGATGGTTGCTGTGTGTGCATGCAGGCTTAAATCCTTAAATCCCACTTTTCATAAGAAGCAAAAAAATTCTCAAGTTTTATAATCACGTAGCTCTAATTAAGAGATAGACAATTGGGGCTGGGGATGTGGCTCAAGCGGTAGTGCGCTCGCCTGGCATGCGTGCAGCCCAGTTTCGATCCTCAGCACCACATACAAGCAAAGATGTTATGTCTGCCAAAAACTAAAAAATAAATATTAAAAAATTCTTTCTCTCTCTTTAAAAAAAATAAATAAAAAGAAGAAAGTTTCATTTAGACTCCAATTAAAAAAAAAGAGATAGACAATTTGAAAAGCATCCATGGAAATAAACCATGTGAGTCACTTTCAGTCACTGGTTTTCAGCCTCTGCTGGTAGATGGTTTCATAGGCGGCTTTGGAGCAGGGAAGGTGCCATCCCTCCCCCTGGGCCTGGCTGAGGCCTTCCTGTCCCTGCAGACAGTGGCTGGCCTACAGTCGCCTCTACCAGAGCCTTGAGTTCCCTAGCAGTTGCCTCTTGCATCCCATCACCAGCATGGAGTACCAGTGGATCCAGGGCCGGCTCAAAGCAGAACAGGTGGATGTGGGAATTGGGTGGGCAAGGGCTGTTGAGCAGGGAGGGCTGTGGGGGAGGTCAGGGGAGCACAGGAGGCCATGGACCCATAAGCAGCTCCCAAATCCTGACATCTTCTTGGCTTTGCAGCTGGAGGAACTGGCCACCTCATTCACCTCCCTGCTGGCCTACGGCCTCTCCCTCATCCGGAGGTTCCGCTCTGTCTTCCCTCTTTCTGTCTCTGACTCCCCATCCCGGCTGCAGTCTCTCCTCAGGTTGGTGGCTCTGCTTTTGCTTCTTCAGGGGTGAGGGTATAGTGGGGCAGCTGTAGGGAGAGGCCTGCTACAGGAGTGGGTGTGGGGCAGTGGGCCTGTTAGACACAGCCCTCTCTCTGTCTCCCAGGGTCCTGGTGCAAATGTGCAAGATGAAGGCCTTTGGAGAACTGTGCTCAGACAGTGCCCCACTGCCCCAGCTGGTGATGGAGGCTTTGAGGGTATGACACCTTCCCTAGGGTGCATGAGGGCTTGTGCCTGGACCCAGCAACTCCTCCCTGCTCATTGCCTCTCTTTTGGCAGACTGGTACAGTTGAATGGTTCCACCTGAAGCAGCAGCACCATCAGCCCATGGTGCAGGTAGGTGTTGGACAGGGGCAGGGCGGAATGGGACACTTGTCTCTGCAGCCCTGCTTAGCCTACCTTGTCCCTTCCAGGGCATGCTAGAGGCAGGCAAAGCCTTGCTGAACCTGGTACAGGATGTCATGGGTGACCTGCACCAGTGCCAGCGCACATGGAACAAGATCTTCCAAAAGTGAGCAGACCCAGGTTGGGAGGTGGTGGGCCTGTGAGATCCTGATGTGTACCACAGGGTCACACTGCTGTCTCCTCCAGTGTCCTCAAGATCGACCTCTTCTCCATGGCTTTCTTGGAGCTACAGTGGCTGGTGAGGCCCTCCACTGACCCTAGGTTGTATCCCTCAGCCCAGTTCCACCACCCTGCCTGCTAGGCCTTTCTTTGCAGGTGGCCAAGCGGGCACAGGACCACACATCGGCAGTGGGCAGCCCTGTGTCTCCAGAGATGGGCGAGAGTCTGTTCCAGCTCTACATCAGTCTAAAAGAGCTCTGCCAGCTGGGCCCAGTCTCTCTAGACAGGTAGGCAGCAAGCAGGTGGCTTGTGGCAAGCTGTACGTGCTTCAGAAAAGAGGTGAGTCTACAAGGGCTGTGGGCTAGAGCTGGTCGCAGCCTTCCGCAGCTGAACTCTAGCTCTCCCCAGGGACAGAGTCCTGGCTCTGGATAGTTTTCACCGCTGGTTCCAGCCAGCCATTCCCTCCTGGCTGCAGAAGACCTACAGTGTGGCCCTGGAGCGGGTGCAGCGTGCTGTGCAGATGGACAAGGTGTGGGCAGGGACCTTGAATTCGGAGATGGCCCAGCGCTCGCTCTGGGTGTGGTAGAAGCTGGTAACCTGCTAGGACACCCCCTCCCCGCCCACTTCAGGCCAGTTGTGTGCAAAATGTGGCTGTCTCCTGATACCCTGGAGTTAACTGTGACCTGTGACTTCCCTTTGCCATGTATCCTACAGGCTGGGGCTCTGGACAGAGCCTAGCTTGTCCCCCCTGTAGCTCCCTGCTCAGCTCTGTGCTTGTTAGTGGGAGAATGGATTTGTCCCTGTTCTGAGCCCTCCTTTCTAAGTGCTCTCCCTTTTCCCCAGCTGGTGCCCCTGGGGGAGCTGACCAAACATAGCACGTCAGCTGTGGACCTGTCCACCTGCTTTGCTCAGATCAGTCACACTGCCCGGCAGCTGGACTGGCCAGACCCAGAGGAGGCCTTCATGATCACTGTCAAGTTTGTGGAGGTGCAGCATGTCTTTCTGTGTCCTTCATCTTTCTAGGACAACCTTCCTATCACCTACCCGACAGAAATTCCAGGCTCATCCACCAACCTTCCCAAGGCCTATGTCTGAAATTCTCCCAACTTCCTGAGATTCACATGCCCTGCCCTCTACCCTGCATGGCAGCTTTACCCACTGATCACTTTCCTCTCCCTGACACCTCAGGACACCTGCAGGCTGGCCCTGGTGTATTGCAGCCTTATAAAGGCCCGGGCCCGAGAGCTCTCTGCAGGCCAGAAGGATCAGGGCCAGGCAGCCAACATGGTAACAGAGCCCAGGCTGGGGGCTGGTCAGGGTGGGGTGGGGCCTGGCAATGCTGGCCCTGTTTTAGGAAGCCCTGCATCCTTCTGTCTGTGCCTGTCCCCAGCTATGTGTGGTAGTGAATGACATGGAGCAGCTTCGGCTGGTGATTGGCAAGCTACCCGCTCAGCTGGCATGGGAAGCCCTGGAGCAGCGGGTGGGGGCCTTGCTGGAGCACGGCCAGCTGCAGAACACACTACATGCCCAGCTGCAGGGTGCACTGGCTGGACTGGGCCACGAGATCTGCACAGGTGTCCGCACTCTGGCTGAGCAGGTAAGTTGTTGTCTGACTCCACAGTGACCCCACCCTGGCCCCCAGCAGGACCTGGGTTGATGTCCAGCCCTCTCTTCCTAAGCCTAAACTCAGGTCTCACGTGAACTCCCAATCCTCCACTCATTCCCTGACCTCCCTCCATCTACCATTTTGTGTCCCCAGCTGGAGGTGGGCATTGCCAAGCACATCGAGAGACTTGTGGGTGTCAAGGAGTCCGTTCTGCCTGAGGATGTGAGTGACTCTCCTGCTCACTGACCTTTGCTGCCCTGCCAGCTCTTTGTGTCTGGGGTTATAAAGGGGACCCAGGTTGTTTTGGGGGCTGAAGGCCTTAGGGGTATCAGAGATCAGCCCAGGTATGTTGTTTCCCTGGGCTGGTTTTCCTCTTTGGACACTCAGGGGTACAAATTGGGTCCCTGTATGGGCTCTCCCAGCACCGACAATCGGTGTGGGGAGGGTGAAAAGCCCCACAGGCCTGGGCACACAGCCTTCTTGGTGCCTCTTAGCTCTGCTGTCATGTTTATGCGAGCCAGCTCACTTCAGTCTCCCTGTCTGTAAACTGGGAGAGTGATACACACCCCTGATTGTTTTGGGGGAAGGCTACTCATTAATTCATCAACTGTTTAGTAAGTGCCCACCTTGTCCTGACAGTGATTCAAGCCTGGGGATAGATCAGTGAAAATTTTCTGCTTTCCTAGAGCTTACATTCTAGCCAGGAAAGTGAAAGAAGAGCTGAGTACGGAAGTACGATAACTTTAGTTACTAAGTACTGTAAGCTTAGTTATGATTATAACTATAAATATACATACAGAAGCGTATGTGTGTGCACACACACTTATATAGTGTGTTAGATGATGATAAGTGCTAGAGAGAAAAATAAAACAGAAGGAAGGGTGGGAAGTGTCAGAGGGTTGTATTTTTAGATAGTAACGGGAAGACCTCATTCAGAGGGCAACAGCTGAGTCAAGACCGCCAGGAAGTGAGGGAAGAAGCCATGAGAATTTCTAGAGAAAGAGCATTCCAGGCAGAGGGAACAGCAAAGGCTGTGAGGTAGCACCATGCCTGGCCGTAGATGAGGCTAGTGTGGCTGGAGCGATAGCAACCAGGAGAGGAAGGCAGAGAGAGATGGGCAGGGGCAGAGCCTGCAGACATTTCAAACCCATGCACAGAAGCTCCTGGCCCTGTTTCCTCCCCAGGGCAAGGAAATGGGGCTGGGATTGAAATGGGCCTGAGCTACCTCCTCCTATTCCTCAGGCCATTCTGCCCCTGATGAAGTTCCTGGAGGTGGAGCTTTGCTACATGAATACCAACCTGGTGCAGGAGAATTTTAACAGGTCTGCCAAGGTCCCTGCCCTGCAGTGCCCACACCCTTTCTCCACCTGCCCTGCCTCCAGGGCCTCAGCATCTTAATTAATTAAGGGGACCTGTTGTAAATCCCTTTGGTGAAGTCCCTTAGAGGGTATGACCAGCCTCTGCTCAAATGTTTGCTTCCAGGGATAAGGAACTCACTCACTACCTTATAAACCTGTCCATTTCATGCTGTTCAGTACTGAGAATTACCAGTTCTTCCTTGGTCTGAGCTGAGATCTCCCTATCCATTCTCCCTTAGTCCTGAGACCATCTTCCGGAACCCCTGACTGCTTTTCCTCTTTTTTTTTTTTTTTTGAGTCCCCAGGATTGAACTCAGGGGCACTTCCAAGATTGAACTCAGGGGCACTTAACCACTGAGCCACATCCCCAGCCCTATTTTGTATTTTATTTAGAGACAAGGCCTCACTGAGTTGCTTAGCATCTCACTAAGTTGCTGAAGCTGACTTTGAACCTCCTGTCTAGCCTCCTGAGCTGCTGGGATTACAGACCACTGGGATTATAGGCATGCACCACCATGTCCAGCTTTTTCCTTCTTTTTAATGTTTTTGGCATCCAGTGCTATTGGCCATGATCCAGGGAAACTTCTAGTTAGGGTCTCTTAAAGCATTGGATGGAGGCACAGGGTGTGGACTCTGGATGGCCTGACTTTAGATTCCAGACTTAGTACTCCTTGGTGGCTTTGAGCAGTTACTGAAGTGCCAATGACTATAGGCTTCTACTGAGGACTAAATGGGTCATGTGATGTGCTGAGAGTAGGGTTGTGGTCAATGACTACACAGGAAGTGGCCAGTGACTGTTAGTTGTAGAGATGCCCAGGAGGATCCACCTCCAGGTGGAACTGGGGCCCTGAGCAGGCTGCTGACCTTTCTCTCCTAGAATTCTTCTCTTCCTCCTGGACAGCCAGGACCCCTACAGCCAGACCCTTATGTCTTAGGCCATTTTATACCATTTGTTCAGCTCTCCCCACCTCCACATAAACCACAATTACCTCTCCACTAAGACAGAAGCTTTGCTTAGAAGCCTTTAGAACAGTGCTTGGTGTATAATAAGCACTTACATGTGTTGAATAAATACATAGCCCTCCTCCATTTTTTTTTTTTTCCTAGACCGGGTATTAAACCCAGGGCCGCATGCCTCCTAGGCAGGGGCTCTACCAATGAGCTTTGCCCCAGCCCAGATCTCATCACCATTTTTTAAAAGTATTTTTTTAGTTGTAGATGGACATAATACCTTTATTTATTTATCTTTATGTGGTGCTGAGGATCGAACCCAGGGTCTCACACATGCTAGGTGAGTGCTGTGCCACTGAGCCACAACCCTAGCCCCTTTCCTCACCAATTTTTAAACAATAATTTTTTTTTGTACATAACTGCCAGACTCTGCTTTGACACATGTTAAACTCAAGGTGTTATAATAACGGTGTCCCTGTCACTATTTTATTCCCCCTGCAATGTAGTAGATGCTTTATCCCTGTCATGTGTTGTAATTCTATCATTTTGGCTTCTCCATCTTGAATCATGTTTCTGACATTGGGATCCAGCTTCCCTGCCCATCTTTTGTGGTTTATTGGGGTTTCATGATCCTACTGAAGATTCTTCACTGAACTTGAGATGTGTCAGATAGGACTTACCCTATCTGACAAACTGCCCCTTGTTTGTTCCCTTAGGAGACACCACCACCCCCCCCACTGCCTGCCAGCTCTGGCCTCACCTGTGGAGCAGGTGTGGGGGAAGGTTGGGGTAGATCTGGGTCCTTGAGGCCTCCCCTTTCTCAAGAACATCTTTGCTTCCTCCTCCTCCACTGTATCCTATGTCTGGCATCCTCTGCCCTCGGCCAGCCTTCTGACCCTGCTGTGGACCCACACACTCACGGTGCTAGCAGAGGCATCGGCCTCCCAGCGCAGCTCATCCCTAGCCTCTAGCAGGCTGAAGGTTGCCCTGCAGGTAAAAATGCCGGCCATAGGACAGTAACCCTGGGGGAGGGTTCCTGGGGCCACCTCTGATGTCTCCCCCAGAACCTGGAGATCTGCTTCCATGCTGAGGGCTGCGGCTTGCCACCGGAGGCTCTGCACACGGCCACCTTCCAGGTAGGAACCTTTTGGTGAGCTCCCAGGTAGGAGGTCAGGGAATCTGTCTTTCTGTACTCACCTGTGTCCAGGACCAGCTACTTAATTTATTGGGCCCAGTACAAAATGAGAAGGTACGCACGCACACGCACCTTACTCAAAATTATTACCAGGGCTGGGGATGTAGCTCAGTGGTAGAATGCTTGCCTAGCATGTGCAAGATCCTGGATTCAATACTCAGCACTGCAAAAAAAAAAAAAAGGAAAGAAATTTAAGATGGTGACAACAGAGTATTAACCCAGGTGTGGAATCCTTCAAAGCACAGGGGCCCAGTGCTCCTGCATAGGATGGGGGCATGCCCAAGAAGCCTACTGTCTGTGCCTCTGTCCCAAAACCTCAGGCATTGCTGAAGGTGCATTTTTGTTCATGGTCTTATAGCCCCAGAGCTTCCTTTTTGAAGTCATGTCTCAGCCTCAGTTGTGAGCCTGGTGACGGCTGACTGACATTCAGGTGGTACTCAGATGTATCCTTCTAGGCTCTACAGAGGGACCTGGAACTGCAGGCGGCCTCCAGCCGGGAGCTCATTCAGAAGTACTTCTGCAGTCGCATCCAGCAGCAGGTGAGGCTCCCCTCCCCCACCCCCACGCCCACCAGGGTTGGAGTTGGCCTCATCCTGCTTTGCCCAGGTGACCCTGAGTATGCAACCCACACCAGGTGGAAACCACCTCTGAGGAGCTGGGTGCCGTCACCGTCAAGGCCTCTTACCGCGCCTCTGAGCAGAAGCTGCATGTGGAGCTGCTCAGTGCCTCCGGCCTGCGACCCTTGGACTCCAATGGTGAGTGGAAGCTGGTTATTGGCCACTAACTGCTTCCTCTATGGCCCTCCCTGCCAGTGTCCCTGGGGCTGTGGAGGAGTTCTGGGTGCATTTCTCATGAGGCGCAGGGCTGTTGAGTGGCACAGCTGCAGGGGAGGACTGGAAGAACCCTGGCAGCACCCTTCCCCTAGGCTCCAGTGACCCCTTTGTCCAGCTGACCCTGGAACCCAGGCATGAATTCCCCGAGTTGGCACCCAGGGAGACCCAGAAACACAAGAAGGACCTTCACCCGCTGTTTGATGAGACCTTTGAATTGTGAGTGGGTCCCTATTCTTCTAGTTCCTCCCCTTGCTTCCCTTCCCTGAGCCTCCTTCAAGGGACCCCTGAGATGACCACACTGGACTTAAGGAAAGGGCACTTGGGACAAAGGTTTCTTCCACTGAGGGGAACGTAAAATTTGAAGCCTTCCAGGGAAGGGTCCTGACTTTGAGGTCCTCATGGATCTGCTCTCTGTTGCCCAAGACAGGTGGACCCGGGGCCACAGGACCCCTGATTTAAAGCATCAGCCCATGGTCAGAGCAGGTGTCATGTACATGGCTGAGAGGAGCCAGGCAGAGCTGACTTTGTAATGTGCTTGTGCTCAATGAGGGGTGACCCATGTGTTGGAGCAGGGGTAAGGTGATGGTAGTCTTGGGTAAGCAGCTGAGCCTGATTCTGTCCTTGCCAGCCTGGTGCCTGCTGAGCCATGCCAGAAGGATGGGTCGTGCCTCCTGCTCACGGTGCTGGACCATGACACACTGGGGGCTGATGACCTGGAAGGGGAGGCCTTCCTGCCACTGCGTGGGGTGCCTGGGCTGACCAGCTCTGAGCCCAGTGAGGCGCCCCAGATGCGCCTGCCTCTCACGTATCCTGCGCCCAATGGTAGGCCTGAGTCCCAGGATAGGGCAGGGTAGAGACAGGACACCTGGAAAACTCAGGAAGGGACCCTAGAGAAATGCTTCCTTGGGAGATGGAAGCCAGTGGAATAAGGGCTTGGCCAGTCTCTTGATTTGAGACCAATGAGATTCAAGCTCAGTGAAGTTTTGGGTGACTCTTCTCTCTGGTGGATAAGGTCACCAATGAGATTCCTTGGGGAGAGGAAGAAGCCTGGATCTGTGAGGGGCACATCCCTACAAAGAATTCTCCCAGCGTGTTAATAGGAATAGTTCATCTTTGTGCATATATCGTGAGTCAGTTCTGAGTACTTGGTGTAGATGAACTCTTTCAATTCTTACAATCCATCAGTGAGGCAGGTGTTATCATTAGCTGTTTTAGAGACCAGAAAACTAAGGCACAAAGAGTTAACTAGCTTCAGGTTCTCTTCAGGAAGGTAGTAGTCACCACCTCAGGCAGTCCAAGCACTCTCATCTTCCAGCTGTGTCTTGAAGTTTGGCTAGTTGTCAGTCACTGGTTTTCTTTCAGCTTGGTGATGATGGGTGGGGCAGTGTTGTGTCCCCGCCTGCCCCCCCATCTCCCAGACTTGGCCTCTGGCTTCTCTCCACAGGAGATCCAATCCTGCAGCTGTTGGAGAGCCGGAAGGGTGATCGAGAGGCCCAGGCTTTTGTGAGGCTGAGGAGGCAGCGAGCCAAGCAGGCCTCCCAGCATGCCCTAAGGCCAGGGCAATAGAGGAGGAGTTGGGGGATGGGGCTGGTCCTTGGTGGAGTCTTACCCACCACGGTTCATTCCCCTAGCCTGGCCTAACATTTGGAGAGCCATAGCAAGTGTAACGGTCAGAATGCAGCCTCTCTAGACTCTCCCATGGCCACAGTGATGGGTGCATTATTAACAATATTTACACTCCCTCCAGCCCTGGCCTCAGCATTCTCTGACACATCCCAGCACAGAGGAATAACTCCTGCCCCTGCTTCCCCCGCAAAAACTGCTCTGGTGGGCCAGGGTCTAGAGCCCTCCGTCTCCTGGCCTTCCTCCTTCAGCTTTGCTAGGGTGTGGTGGGCCCAGACTGTCAGGACCCAGGCTGTGAGCAGAGCCTCCCTGGGGCTCCAGCTGCCCCAGGGGAAGGGTGGTGGTGGCCATTATTGGAGAGACCAAAGGACTTTGGCTCTGGAATGAGAGCTGGCAGGCAGCAGGGCTGGCACCAATGGACAGCAGAAAAGACAATGTGACTGCGTCTGCTGAGGGTTCTTCCTTCAGGAGGTATCTATCATCTAGAAACTTTCTTAGAAAAAAAAAATAAAAAAAATTTATCCACAGCCCTCTTAGGATTATCTGTTGGCATCCAGAGAGTTACCAAAGACTCAGGCCAGCTGGCCTCCTCATCCCTCAGGAGCCTCAAAGCTGCCCCCATGCCTCAAAGCAGGGAAGAGGGTATGGGCACACCTGCCACAAGCAGGTGCTGAGGTGGCTAAAACGATTTTGACTGTGGACTTTGGCAGATTTTATCAGGCCCATCAGTTATGGTGGTCACTGCCCAAGAGAGGGGCAGGTGCACCAAGAGGCCGAGTGGCTGCTCTGGACAGCATAAGGGGCAGCCCTGCTGAGGGGAAGGGGGCCCCTTGCACACTGGGAGTCCAGTGGTCATTTTAGCTGTGACCCAGATGAAGTCCCTTAACATCCAAATCAGTATTAGCTGATGGAAGAGCTGGAGCTGGGCAGTTCTGAGGTCATGTGAAGCCTGCTCTATTTTCTTTACCCCCAGCACACAGGCTGATGGGGGGAGCAGGGCAGAAAGACTTGGCGCCTAGAGCATGGGCCCCTCTGAAGGCAAGAGGCAGGGTACTTCCTCAGTGCCATTCTCTACTTATGCTGTTATGCAAACCATTCCAAAGGGACAGTATTGTCTACTGCCTTTTGGATAACATCAACAATAAAGAAACCACTCATAGCTGAGGAAAGACCTACACAGAACAGTCGCATGGCCTGGGAGCTATCAGTATTCAAGGCTAAAAGGTCACCTGCAGGCCTGTGTCACAGGGCACTCAAGCTGTGGTGGACTCTATGCACCTGGACATGCCCTAGGCCTTGGCAGCTGCTTTGCCACACCTAAGGATGTGGGAGGAAGCCATTCCATGCCTGAGGCAGGGGTCCTGCCTGTCTTGAAGTCTGGAGGCCTGTGTTTGGGGACCCACCCCCCCACCCCCATGTAAATAAGTACCACTGCAAGTTCATATTTTATTTCCAATAGATCTGCTTTGTTGATTTTTGCATTTTTGTAAAAAAGGAGAAAAGTTTTCACTTAATTCATTGAAAGCCCTTTCGTGCTGAGCCCAAGGGGGGCCTGGGCCAGGGCAGACCCTTTGCAACCCTCTTGAGCCCACCCAACACCCAGAGCTGGGAGCAAGGTCACTTCCCTCTGCCCACTCTGCCCTCCCACCCCCGCTGCATCTCTTTCTGTACAGAATGACTTTTAAAATCGAAGCTAAGACACAATATACACTGGACAGCACACACACACATGCACACGGGCGTCTGCCTAGAATGGGCAGGACGTCAGCTGCACTCGGAGAGCACCAAGGAATGCATACGGAGCCCCTCTTGCCAGGAGGGCAGGGCCTGCGCCCCCTTGGTCCTCAGGCCGCACTCCTCCCCAACAATTGCCCTGCTAGCTGCCAGAGGGAGGGGGCGAACTGCACAGAGGCCACGCCAGAGAGGGGCCAGGGCAGGGACAGCTGAGGGCAGTGCCAGCCTGGCAGGTGGCCCTGGGGCCAGGAAGGCTGTTCCGGGGAGCCCAAGAGGGAAGAACTGAGGGGGACATAACTGGGCCTTGCCCCTCAAGGGGCTTCAAGGGCCCAACTTGGGAGGGGGCTGGCCCTGTAGCTTTGGCCTGCCAGCCCTCGCCATGGTCCCCAGGACTAAATACACATTTGGTAAACATAGGAGCTTGACTGGCGTCAACCCCCAGCACACCCTCAGGCCTCCCTGAGGCCCTCACATCTGGGAACCAGGTCCACCCACCCAGGGGGGCCTGGAGAGACAGGGTGAGCAGGGCCTGCCCTGAAGGCTTCTCCCCTCCCCTTATCCCCTTCCAGCTTCCCACCCTTCCCCACTTAGGCCCCAAGAAGAAGTTAAAAATAGTTAGTTCCTACATAAAAAAGACAGAAACAGATTCTCTGCCAAAAGGCCAGTGGGAGAAGAAGGGACTTTGTCTCTGAGCAGAAAGGGTGGGGAGCGGGTAGGGGAGGACTGCAAAATAGTCTTTTCTTTTAAAAAGTGCTTGGTAAGTCTGTTTTAAAGTGTGTGTCTATATCTATGTACAGATATACACACAGACACTGCATACGCTGGCCACCACGCATACCGGCACACACACAAATGTATACATGTACATAATCATATACATATACATACATA